GATTGGACCTTTAGATCATGTACAAACTTATCTTATTAGCTAGCTTATGAAATAAGCTTTGTGTAGGGGCCTAAATCATTCCAATTGGACGTCGTATGTAGAAACAGTGCATGCCAAAAGTTTACCCTACAAACTGGTTTTTGAAAGCAGAATTTTCTGTCATGTGTATCGCAGTGCATGGCGTATCACGTTACGACGCATGGCACAGAGAGGGAGAGCTACTTGTGGCTCTATGCCACATGTTGCGGCTTATGCGGTGAATGCCACGACATATGGCTTAATTTTTGACTTTATTAGTAGTTTTAAAGGCATGCAATGATTATAATGAATGCATAGATTGGTTTCTATTGTGTATGGCTCTGATATGTTAAGGTTTTTGATGATTTACAAAACAAATCTTGGACCCAAGCTTTTCAAACAATATTTGATTACAGTTTGGATTTATTTATTGTAGTGATTAAGTTAACCCCTCCTAATGTCAAGTGGATATTGGGAGAGACTATATCTATAACCTATATGGATCAAAAATCATCTCCCATTACCAAACCTTAACCAAAAACTTCAAGAAAATGGAAGAGAATGGAATATTAAGATGTAGGGTACTTACTTTAAATGATTACTAGCTTCAAAATATCCCAAAGGCTCTCAAAATGTGAACTAGTAGAGCTTGCTGGTTCTTCATTTTCTTCTTCTTTCTCTTTTGTTTTTTATCTCAGTTCGTGACTTAATTCTACAAAAAAAAAGGGCTGTGTGTTGTGACATAGGCATCACACATCGCAATGCATGGCATAGAGAGGCCTTTCTACTTCAGTGGTCATCTATGTGCCATGGTGGACGTGTTACGTGTCGCAACATAGGGCACCGAGATATCCCTTTACGTTTTTCTTCTCCTTTCAATGTTCAGGTGGCCTGTCTTCACTTTGAATCCAAAACTAGGGCTAAAAACATAAACCAAATATCATTATTAGACCTCCTTAGCCACACAACATGTCAAATCACTTAATTATCATAATTAAACTTAATTAATTCCTAATAATTGAGAGATTAAAATCTATAATGTTACAATGGGCACTTGAATCACTTCGATTAGACATCAGGAGAGAAGATGACGCACGCTAGAAGTTCACCCAAAAAAGCTATCATGATAGCTTCATGCTATCATGATTGACCATATGCACTGCGATACAATATGTTCATGCCACAGTGCATGACACAGGGGAAAATTTTCCCCTCTATGTCACATGTCATGGCCCATGTAACCTATGCCACAACATAGGTGTCAAAATGTGCCAAAATATCATTTTTGGCCTATTTAACCTTTCTTTGTTTCCATGCTTCCTATAAGGTTTTAAAATAGTATGTTTGAGCTCAAATACCTACCCAAAAAGGGTTTATGGGATCCTAGCAATTTTAGACATGTTTTACCTTATATATTTTCTTTAAACCCTTCTTTGAATGATTTGAGGCTTACGAATGCTTAGTGCATCCTAATTGCCATTGTGAGGTGAATTGTAATGTCGAGGCGAACATTACACCTAGTGTCCTCTTGCCTATCCTATAGTTAGATTGAACATACTAACTGAATTATCTAAAAGCTAAAAGAAGGTTTAGAGGACATACCTTGAGACCTAAGAGCTCCAAATTGCTCTAAAAACATGAACTTAAAAAAAGGACTCAAACACAAAAATATTAAAACTCTGGGTTAAGAGTTGTAATATTTTCTAATTAGAACTCAACCCTATGTGAGGACTCACATAGAAAGAAAGTCAATGGATGCGCATGCCTCACATCCTACCTTCCTATTATAGCCATCTCATGTCCCATTACCCTCATTCATATCCCATGTGAGTCTTAGTTTCAACTAACTAAATTTTCTTACTACACAATATGGGACTTTGTTCTCAATCTAATTATATTGTTGAGTTTCTCCATCTCTTATTTACTTACTTCTTTACTTATTTTCTACTTTTGGTCTTACAAGACTATTTTCAAGAGCACGAAGTTCCAAAATTACTCTTTGGTTCCTAAAATGACATTTTCTTAACTACTTAAACTCCCACAAAATTTTCAATTTTTTTAATTGCTCAAGATCTGGGACTTGAATAGTAAAACCAACCACATGTCTGTGTTCAAGGAATGTGCCCAAATCTATGAACACATGTTTCAAGATTTTCAACACCATCTGATCTGATTTTTAGATATTACTAATAAAAGATCTTACTATTTCATCTTAATGTCTTCCAATGACCTTTCTACCTCTTCTTGTCATTAAAATATTTTGGCACATCCTCAATTTCTCTCAATTTAAGTCCTTATTCATACTTTTTGATCCTTACACTTCATAACTCATTAGTAAAAATTCCCTATACCTTGATTAACTCTCCTAATTCTAAAATTAATGGTAATTCATAATCGTTACAATATGGGCTTTTTATATGTTTGAGTATTTTAAAATTGATCTAAATAATTCCAACCCAAATTGAACTAGATCGAATAAGCATGGCTCGCCTTAATTACTAGCTCTAAAATAAGGTTTGATCTTCTTTTGCTTTTTCTAGCCAACAAGCAAACAAAGCATTGTGGGAGGAAGACAAATGGTTTTATTATTTTGTAGTTTAAAAATTAAAGAAAAATAAAAATAAAAACATTAAAAAAAAATAAAAAATGATTATTTCAACTTTTCTTGTAATCTTTAACTAAAATTATTCATTTGCTATATTTTATAACAGTGATTACTGAAATAATTATACTAGCACATTTTATAATGAGTAAAATTAAATGTAATATGTACTAAAATAATTAAATATTGTAATGATATAATAAAGTTTATCATCAATAAGTTTAACACGAGTTATTGATCATTTATTACTCTATTTTCTTTCCATTATTTTAGTATTTTATAATTATAGCTATCAAATTATAAGTTCCTCTTTTCATTAGATTTTATGTATCTTTTCTCTCTTTTCTCTTTTCTCTCTTCTTTTGAGTTTTTTTTTCTTTTTTTTTAATTGATTAATGAAACACATTATCCTATACTCGATGGCGATGCGCTTCCCTTGTGATAAGAACGTCCCTTGGCTATTTTGGCGTCATAGGTTTTATCCCAAAAGGTCCTTTGATCCTCCTTCAATGTCGGCAAAAAACAAAAAAGGAAAAAAAAAAAAACTAGCCCCTTATTTTTATGAACCTTTTTCTTCTTTTTTTTTTTTCGTGCTCTTGTATGTTTCCCACCATCTTTATTCTCTCATATTTCTACTTCGTTCTGTTTGATGTGAAATAAGAGATATAAAATGATAGGAGAAAGATCTTCACAAAAATCTCTAAAGAAAACGTTATCATATGTTTGGTTCAAATGATAAGAGACTTACAATCTTGAGTTGGAGTTGTGGAATTGTAATAATAGCACTGATAGTATATGAAATTTTAATGTGGTCGAGCTGAATGACTTAGGTTTGATATTTGAGGTGAAGACCATTTTTTCCCACTGTTTTTTTTTTTTTACATTAAAGAATAGGGCTGTTCCTCATAAACAATTTTTTCAAGAGCAGAATTGCCCTTTTGTCAAAGACTCGCCATCATCTTCATTATTTACTAATGTAAAATAGCTATAGGGCTCACGCACAGTGATAGTAAAGCATTCTAATTCATTTTAATCATGTAAAGTGGGCCACAGGAACTAGAAGTGGCAATGGCAAGAATCAGCCTGATTTTTGTGATAAAACAGCAACAAAATAAGGTCAAAATATCTTGTTGTCACTATGTGTGAGTCACAAAATTGTTTCACATCAACAAATAAAGGAGATGATGATGAGTCTCTAACAAAAGGGTGATTTTGTTTTTGAAAAAAATTGTTCAGAGGGACATTGCCCCACTCATAGTACAGGGTGCCTAGCCTCAAAAAATGTAAGAGGAAAATAGTCTTTAATCCTTATAATTATAGTCAAAACCAAGAATTCCTAGCCTAACACTTGAACTCAAGTTGGTTTGTTTGGTTTCTAATTGGGTTGAAGGATAGAAATACCTAATTACTTTTTCTCCAAGAGCACATAATTTTTTTAAATGAACAAAGGTACAAGAATATATGTGAACTTGTTATAATGACTGCAACAATCCCATTTTATTAAATTTCATAGACGTTTGTTGATATTGACTGTTAAAAAAAGAAAGCACATATAAATTGCAAAAATAGCCATACATTTTTATGCAAAAGCTTCTAATATCCTAACGTCAATAATGATGTATGGGTGCTAATTAATTTTATAAAATAAGCTAATCTTTTCCAATCCTTTAAGTTATATTTTTAGAACTTTATGGTCAATGTTAAGTTATTTTACCTAATTGGAAAAGGTTAGAATTGGAAATTTGGATGAAGTCTAAATAAATTTAAAAAATCTCAGACCAAGCTTGAGAATTTAGAAAAATTTATTTAGTTCAAGCTTATTAGAGTTGTCTAAATAAGCCTAAAGAAATCTAGGCCAAGTTCAAACTCAAATGAGCTTAGTCTAAATACTCAAAATCTTTTTTTATTAATAAAATAAAATTAAATTTAGAAAATTGAAAATCTTAATTTTTAAGATAAACACTGAAATTGATTAAAAAACAAAATAAAATAACATAATATTTAAAAATTTATATATTTTTGCCCTCGGAGTTGTTAGGACCAAACTTGGATATATGACATCTTTTATAAAATTAATGGGTATTGATGCACTATTGTAAACTTTATGATACCAAAAGTACCTAGAGAAAAAGTTTATGATATTTTTGTATGTTATGTTTGTTTCCTTTTTTTCTCAATAGCCAACGTTAAATTATATATGTGTGTGCAGATGCACACATAAATTATTAGTATCCAGTGTCCACATACTTCAAGGAAAAGAAAAATATCAACATAAAAAAGCAAGGAGAGTCGTCAAAAACTTGGGAGAATAAACAGTTAGGAGAAAATTATAGCGCCAAATAGATTACGATAAGAAAATTTAGTTAGCTAGGTACTCTAGTAAGAAATAGTGTAGTTTTCAGTAACTACAAAATTTCTGATAATGAATCAATGACATGAGTTATGAATACAATAGTTTAATAGTCAGGGAAAAAAGGTAGAAAACAACTTGATTGATATTTATGTGACATGAAAAGAAGACCAAAAGTATTGTGACATACTAAAATAGCTTGATTCTATTTGGGTTCAATTTTTGCAGGGAGTGTGTATCCTCCACTATAGTCAAAGGCATTTGTCTCATTAACAATGTCCTTTTTGCTGAAAGTTTCCATGTAAGGATGTGTGAGAGAAGTCTTTGAAAGTGCAAAGTCTGTTGCTGAAGAAGAAGCAGAAGTGGAATTTGTACTGTTCAAGCCATCATTTTGAAGAATGATTTCAAGAGCTTTCACAACTTCACTCATTGTTGGACGATTAGAAGCAGATTCCTCAACACATTGCATTGTGAGATCCAATAATGTATGAAGCCCTCCAAGGTTACAAGTTTCCATAACCACTAGATCCATAAGTTCTTTTAAACCACAATATTCTTGCTCATTCTTATTTATCAATGTTCTTACTTCTCGCACAATGTACTTTCCTTTCTCAATAGGTTGCCTTGCCGTTATGAGTTCAAGCATTACGACACCAAAACTATATACATCACTCTTCTCAGTTAATTGTTGGGTCATGTAATATTCAGGATCAAGATAACCCTACATATAAATAAATAGAAATATTTCTTTTACTGTATAGCCAGCACCCAAATGAGAAAGGAGAGTAAAAATAAATGAGAAAATAAAATTTTTAGATCCTCATAATTGTTTTAGTTATTGAATTAATAACAAATCAAATTTATAAAAATTAAATTTCAAGGACCAAATTGATAAATGAGACAAATTTGAGGTACTAAAAATTTCATTATCCTAAAATAAAATAACTAAGTTGTAGAGTTTCTTACCAATGTGCCTTTAACCTGAGTGGAAACATGGCCTTTTCCACCATCTGTTGCTAGCTTTGATAAGCCAAAATCTGCAACTTTTGCAGTCAAATTCTCATCTAGCAAGATATTAGAGGACTTGACATCTCTATGAATTATGGGAGGGTTAGCAAGTTCATGTAAGTAAGCAAGTCCTCTTGCTGACCCAAGAGCAATTCTTAACCTCCTCTTCCAATCAAGATAAATCCCACATCTCCCTACAATAACATCATTAGATATTACAATATTCAATCATAGTAAGAATTCTACACTTTACACACACACACACACTCTTCCTCTATACTTATTTTGCTTGTCCTAATTTGCTTTTTCATTCTGTTCTTAAATATTTGTCCTGTTACAAATTTCCTCGTTCTCAAAAAAAATTAGGTAAAACCTTAATCTTTTAAAAAAAATTGTATTTCTTTTTAGTTATACGTTCATTAAATATTTTATATAAGTGTTTTAATAATGACTATTAAACTTCTAAATTCATCATTTGTCAAAAAGAGTAATAAATGAAATTGGAATATAGTTGAAATAACAATTATAAAAATTAATGAATGCTCTAAATTTTAGAATAAATAAAGTTTTTAAAAAAAGTCATATATTGTAATTCAAAGATAGTTTATATTTGCAGGCAATTGTGTGTGTGTGTGTGTGTGTTTGCATTAACAATTAAATACCAGATAAGCAATCTCTGAGTGTTCCATTGGGCATATATTCATAGACCAACATTTGCTCTCCTTGTTCAAAGCAGAAGCCAACAAGAGCAACAAGATTCTTGTGATGAACTCGTGAAAGCAATTCAATTTCAGTCTTGAACTCAAGTCCTCCTTGCATTGATCCTTGTTGGGCTCGTTTTATTGCAACCATTTGTCCATCAGGAAGAACCCCTTTGTACACCTACAACATATATCAATTCAATTATTACATATATATATATATATATATATTCATAACTAACTCTTTAACTCTATACATACACACATATGTTGGACCTGAAAAGCATCTCAGAAGGGGAAGAATACAGCTAGACCTCCCAATGATTTCAAGAGGATATATATAAGTGAGTAAGATACTATATCTTGATCTAAAATTTTAAGGCATTGAGTTTGAGTCTTTTCCACTTATATAGCCCAACTCTATTCAATTACCTTAGGGATGGGCAGGTTCATGCAACCTACTAGACCCTTTTAGCTTTCAAATGGTAAAGAGAAATGAGAAAATGTGGAAGACAATGATATGTTGAACCTCTCAAGATTTGGGCTCGCTTATATGGTTCTCTTATTCTGGTCCATTCTAGATCATAAAAGGTCAATCCACTCCAGCCTCAATAATTAATTAATGCAAATCTACAATAATTATATATGTATGTATGTATATATATATATATATATATAATATTCCAACAACATATGCACACTTAAATTGGCATGGAAATAAAATACCTTGCCATAACCTCCAAATCCTAACTCATTGTAGTGCGAGAAATTTGAGGTACACTTTTTTAGTTCATCATAAGAGAACCATCTTGCTCCTTTTAGTTGTGGAGCTCCTCCACTATCCTTCCCACTAGGTGTCCATGATGCTACAATGTATGTGTGTGTGTATAAGAATCATACTTAACAGAAAAAAGTATTCACCAAAATAAAATACAAGAGGTGTGAAAATAAAGAAGATAATTAAAGATAAGTTACCAAAGGGCCTGCTTAGTACAATGGCTTTCTCTGCACGTTTCTTTTGTAAAAGTGCATATATCCCTAGCCCTATGAGGCTCAAAACCAGAAATGAGCAGCCAATTGCTATCCCAATGACAATAGGCTTGCTTAGAGAAGTTGCTCGACGTGATTCTGAAGCAGTTTGAATTTTAATAATACATCATTAGAAACAAGAAAAGAGATCCTCTATTTCTCAAAAACTATGTTGTCATTTTGTTTGTCTAAAATTAGTTTTGTTTACTTTACATCCACCTATTGGAAAAAGAGCTTGATTCACATCAAAGTAGTTGCTCCATTGAAAGAAAAAGACACATACCTAATGAGACCCTCCTTAAAGGTGGGGTGTTATGAGTATAAATCTAAAGGGAGAGCCTCTCACACTTATAAACCTCACTTTATTTGTGAGACTCTCTGATATATGACACATAACAATGCCATCCCATTCAAGAGCAAACATTACTAATAACTCCACTCCATAATACTCCACTTAACCTTCTACCAGTTAGAAGATTCCATAATAGTCCTCTCCGTGACACCAAACTCTTAATGAAAGCACCAACATTATGAATATAAATTCAAAAGAAGAGCTCATTCCAAGAGAGTGGAACTCATAACAATGGGCCTTACCCAAGTGGGTCCCAATGGCTATAAGTTTTTCTCCCTTAAAGGGGCATATACTCTAAATGATGTTGCTAGATTAAACCATTTAGCTAGTCATTATATCAATAAAAGGAACAAATTTCAAGAAAGAAAAGACAACATAATTTTCAACAATATATATTCAATGTCACATGAATAAAAATGGGCAGTGTCTCTCTGATGTTACCTGGGAAAGCATAAGGAAATGCAATGAAGTAATATGGTCCAAACTCTGGTGGAGGCTTATATGTTTGATTACTTAGTTGAAACCCAATTCTTTGAATCTCAGACCTATTGAAGTATGTTCCTGATGGAGGAAAGAGTGCTAATTGTACTTGAAGATAATCATCACTGTTGAAAAATGGGTTTTGTATAGATACTGAACCCGGAGTGAGACCTAACTTCACCCACAAACTCATCTCAAGAGAATGAAATGTATTTGCATTTGATAATTCTCTAAACAAGGGTCCTCTAAAATACAAAATTCCTTCATATGGGTAGGCACATTCACAACTTTGTGGGCTTAACTTCTGATCAGGAGGACAAGATTTGTTTCCACAATTAGCCAAGCTAGTGGAATAAGGCTTTTTAGGTTGTTGTTGCAGTTGGCAGTAATTGGTATTTGAGAGAGCAGTAAGGCACACTGGATTCCCAATCAAACTGAAAGTCATCACAAGAATGTTAATGCAAAAGGCAACATATATAAATGGAATATAAAAGCTTGTTTGGTATTTTTTTTTTCTTATTTTTGTTTTCAAAAACTATTTTGTAAACCAATTTTAAAAATAATTTTTCAAAAGAAAACAAAAAAAAACTGCTTTTGCCACACACAAAAATACTATTTTATCATGCTCATTTGAAACCAATTTTAGAGTTAAAAATTTGTCAATAGTGGCAGTCGCTAGTAGTTAATAGTTGTCACATATGATAGTTAAATTTAATTTATAATAGTCAAAAAATTGTGTGTGTGTGTGTGTGTGTGTTTCTTTTTTCTAGATAACTCTAAGATGTTTCATATATTCATTGGTAAGATAGGCATACCTTGCTCTCTGTATTTCTCTCTATTACATCTCTTGAATTATTTTAGAAGTTCATAGACTATATTATACCACTCTCTTTATCCCTCTCTTACTAGATCATATATACAATTGTTGGAGATATTTTCAAGTCATTTTAGTGAAGACCCAAAATTAAATTACTCACATCAGTGTATTTTTGTATCCAGAACTGAGTGTTACTGAAGTAATTTGGTTGTCTTGTAAATCTACAAGTTGTAATTGAGGGCTAATGCTGTCACCCATATCCAAAGTGTTGTTCAATGCATTGTGCCTTAACTTCCTGAGAATGGTTGAAAATATAATAAAGCACATTAGCCAGAAACTACCATGACAGTGTTTGTTTGGGATTTCAATCAAAAGTTTAAATTTGAGGCTTACACTTGTTGTATTTGGGGACTGCTGAAAAGTTTTGATGGCAAAGGACCTTCAAGTGATCCAAACTCCATAATTCTAATAGATTTTGCAGAAAATCTTTATTAGATAAATGAAATTTCACAAGTAACCTGAGTAATAGAATTCCCTTTTAAAAGTCTAACGAAGGAACTTAATGCTTTGTTTCAATAGAAGAAAAAGTAAGAAGAAAATAAAAAGAGAGAAAACTAGAAGGAGAAATTTCTAAAAATAATAAATTTTTTAAATTATTTTTAAGAGTTTTCTCTCATAATTTATAAAAAGTGGAATGAAAATTGTAAGTAAAGGGAATGTGAATGGAAAAGCTCTCTCCCATGCTTGGTTTGGATGTAGGCAAAAATGTGAATAAAATAGTGAAGCAAAAAAATTAGGAGGATTTTTTTAAAAAAATAATAAATATTTTTTATTATTTTTAGGAGTTTTCCTCCTACTTTTACTTCATCCATATTTTTCTCCCTATCCAAACAAAGAAAAAGCTTGAAAGCTCTTCTTTTAATAAAGCTACTTTTTTTTTTCATCTAGCAAATAAAATAAAAAGAAAAAATTAATCTTTTAGTCATTCAATTTTTAACTCACTTATAACTCAGTCCCTCAATTATGACTCGCTGCGACTCAATCCCTCAATTATAACTCGCTACAACTCAGTCCCTCAACTTTTGATTTACCTATAACTCGGTCCTTAATTTTTTTTTAAATTTTTTTATCAAATAAGAAGGATAAAAAAATGCTCATATATTATTTTAAAATACCCTCTTCTTATTCATTAATGTGAGATATAAACTAACATGGAAAAAAAAATTAACAAAGGTTAAGGGACTAATTTGTAAGTGATTCAAAAGTTGAGGGATTAAATTACAGCGAATCATAAGTGAGAAACTGAATTACAAGTGACTTAAAAATTGAAGGACTAAAAAATTAATTTTTCCAAATAAAAATACTATCCTTAACTTTTTCCCTTTCCTCAAATCCCTCTTTTTCAATATAACAAACATAGCTTTAAGTTAATATTCACATAATAACTATAGCATGGTTATAAGGGCAAGGGAATAATAATAAATAATGTGACAAATGAATACAAACTAATAGGCCTATCATAATTTACACAAAGCACATCATGAGAAGACTTACAAAGTGGTGAGTGATGGTAAAGTTGTGAACCATATTGGGGATTGAGAAGGATCAAAAGAATTGTTACTCAGATCCCTGTCATGTTACTTTGAAGATTAATCATAGATTAATTAAGTTGAAAGAAATGTTCATAGAAATTGAATTTACAAATAATGATTATCACTACTTACACGTAATTGAGGGTATCCATCTGAGACAAATCTGGTAGAGAACCTGTCAATTTATTATGTGCCAAATTCCTGAAAGAGAATAAGATTGTATACAAAGTTCATCCCCATTAAAATGATGACAATTGACAAGCTTAAGGTTCTTTTTTTTTTTTTTAAACACATTTTAAGTTAGTTCTGATGCCTCTACTTAAATAATTATAGAAGAGAAATACAGGGAAAAATTAATCTACAGGTCTTTATAACTTTCCTTAATTTTGAATTAAGTTTCTCTACTAGCAAAAAAAAAAAAAAATAGGTTTTTTTAGTTTATTTTATTTTAATCAAGCTCTTGTAGTTTGATCCATATGATATGTTAATCCTTAAAGGCTAAAATTAATAATTATTTATTAACTTTTTCAAAAAAAATAATTTTGGAGATTATAAAAAATTTAATTTAATTGGTTTGGTCAAAATAAAAAGATTGATTTGATTCACTGTTTACATTTCTTATTTTTTTAATGAAAATTCTATATGTATAAAAATTATTTATAAGAAAATCCAATAATTATATAAATTTTGTGTTTTAAAAATTATATGATTGATTTTAAAGCTATATAATATTTTAATAAAAATATAAAATTTCTTAAGGAAAAATTTTAGAACTTTTAACTCTCAGGGATTATAAAATTTAGTGGATCAAACTAAAATATAACATAACAAACGCACACATAGAACATAAACCATCTGAATTTAATTTAGACCCTCCCAATATATTACTATAACGTAACAATATTAAATTTAAATTAATCAAAAAGATAAGTACCCACAATTCATTGAGGTTGGTTAGGTTGTTGAGATTAGACGGGACTTCTCCAGCCAAGAAGTTTCTATCAAGCCGACTGTTGTAAGGGAAAAGAAAGTAAAAATAAGAAGAAATAAAAATAATAAATAATAAATTGTTGTAATTAAAACAGAGTAATACGGAAGGCATTACTTACAGAACTTCAAGTGTTTGAACCAATCCTAATGTAAATGGAATTGTCCCTGCTAATTGATTCCCATCAAACAGCCTGTTGCATTGTAAGAAGGCATTTGTTATATACCATTACTTACGGGTTTATTTATAAAAAACATTTTATGATTAATTTTTGGGAAAGTTAATCTGCATATCCTTCTAAATTTTCTCAATTTCAAACAATGTATACATAATTTTTATAAAAATATAAAAATTTTATTAAATAAAATTGTCCTTAGTTTCTTCCGCTAAAAGTATTAAATTATTTTTATATAAATTTTAAAAATATTTTTTTTGAAAAGTTAATCACTCATTAATAATTTTAATCTTTAAGCACTAATATATGTAATTGATCAAAATATAATATAAAAAATTTATTAAAAAATAAAATTATTAGGATTTAATTCAAAATTGATGAAAACTAAAAAGACTTGCTAATTAATTTTCCTTTAAAAATTCAAGTATTAAATACTAAAATGACTTGCTAAAAATTTGAATTATTTAGTACTTATTATATATAGGCCTGAAGATATTATTTTGTAAATGAAAAATATTTGAATTATGGAATTTATTATTTTCTCTATCAATTGTTTTCTTAATAAGTTTCAATTTCTATTAATCAACTATTCACTAGACGGGCCTAAAACATAGAAATATAATGAGTTTCACTTTTGTTTTTTTAAATCTTTGAAACTTACACGTGGATGAGCACCATCTCAGAGTTGAATAAGTTTGACGGAATGGGACCTGAAAGCTTGTTCTTATTGAAATGGCTGCATTATCACGTGAAAAAAAAAAAAATCAATTAGACTTTTGGGTATAATTATTCCCTTCCAAATGAATAAAAATAAAAACTAAAAATAATAATAATAATAATTTTAAAATTATAAGTACTCACAAGTGCTTGGCCTTTAAAAGCATGTCAAATCCTGGAGATATGGAGGTGGACACAGGAATTGACCCAGTTAATTGATTGTCTGCTAAGTCCAACCAATATAATTTTGAAAGATTTCCCAATGAAGCAGGTATTTCTCCAGACAAATTGTTCGAATTTAATGCCCTGATCAAGCAAAACGACATAAAGCAGGTATTTATGACGTCGTCCAACCCAAGCTTCAAAACGACACCATACCATTTGAAACGCCAATAAGCTAACAGATCAAAATGGACACTAGATTTTGGGAATAGAATTGTAGTTTGTTCTTACAAGAAAGATAGCTCAGAGAGATTTCCCAATTCATTTGGAATTTTACCACTGAAGCTGCAACCAGCCAAAATCCTAAAGCACACGAGTGAAGAGACATGTTAATGAACTTGTTTAAAGAATTAATAAAGCCGGGAAAAGAATTAAACGACATGAAGATCTTGGTCGTACAATATGTTTAGATTTCTTAGGTCTCCTAATTGAGGAGACAGAGGACCCTTCAAGCCTCTGTTAAACGACAAGTCCCTGTTCAGTGTTCACCAATAATCATGTTATTCAACATTAATTAATAAATGCATTTTTAATCAAATTCTGGTGTTTTTTTTGGGGGTAAATAAAAAATACTTACAAGGATCTTAATTCAGTAAGACCCCCAATATCTCCACTTAGTTTACCTTGGAGGCCCATTGTTGACAATCCCCTGTCGTTCCAATAAACCATTAAATTAAATATATATAAAATGCACATGCCTTGAGTTAACAAGGGCCTTAAAAACAATAAAATTATCACTTATTTGATTGCCTTTTTTCTAAATATTTTTTTTTGCTTTACAAAACAAAAAAAAAACTTACTTGAAAATGTGTTTTTTATTATCTATTTAGAGAAATTAAAAAATAATATTTGTTTTAAAAAATTGAAACATCTTTTTTATGTTTTGTTACATTTTATACTGAAAAATTAGAAAAAAATGGAAAATATAATGTTTTTATTAATGACAATTATGTTAGTAAAATAAATAATTATTTCATCATTTTAGAATTTTTTTAAATAATGAAGATTTTTTTAAATTTTTTGTTTGCAAAGTTTGTTCTAAAAAATTATTCTACTTAATTTTCAAAAAAAAAAAAAAAGGCAGAATGAGAAACAAAATCAAACAAGCCCATGATATGTCTATATAAGTAATATTACAGTGAGGTGACTCTGGATCTGTTGCAGGTGACTCCTTCCCAAGGTGCTCCACAAGGGTCATCTGATTTATCCCAATTGGGTGGTGTGTTTTGCCACATATCCTTTAAAGATCTTAATACAGAAACTGCAAATACATCATCATCATCATAATTAAGCATTTATAGTCAACTCTTCTAAAAAGTTTCACAAAGCTAAGAGCCATATAAGGTCAAGACCTAATCATCTTCTTGTTAAATAGATATATAGTCATCTAAAATAGTGCCAAGTCCTATTATTCCATGGACCGATTGAATGGATAAAATATAACAATTAGTATATAAATAATATAATAATCCGGTTTGAATTTACCAAATAATCAAGTAAAATTCTCTCATACTCAAGTGAGTGGATCTCTCTTTATATCTCAGTATGATAAGAGTAATCTACTTAGTTTTTACCGAGTAATTTCATGTTATTAGTCAAAGAAATTATTTCTAAGTAATATACTTAGTTTTCAAGGAACTTCAAGTGAACAAAATATAAATATATAATTCACATAGTTTCTAAAAAAGTTACATATTTCTAAAATTTTGAAGGAAAAATGACAGAAAGGTTTTAAAAGAAATAATTAATTCAACTTAGATTCTAAGTGTCAATTTTTAATAATTTACAAATTTAGTTCTTAATTTTATAACTTTATTATAATGAATTTACAGTTTATTTTTAAAAATTTTAACATAATTGAAAAATAATTAAATTTATAAGTCATTCTATTTTGTGTTATATTAGTCATTAAATATAACTTTATTTGATGAGAGATTTTTCACACTAACTCAAGTTCACTTAAACATTATAACATGTACTAATAAATTAAAGAATCTCAAACATGTTAACCTAACTTGTCTAAATTCATACTACATGGGAGATAGCAATTAGATTATAGAAGACTAAATTAATGACAGTTAAGCTCACAATAAAATTAAAGAAAAAGAAATTAAAAACATCGATTATTAGAAAGATAATTACAAAGAAGAATCCCTCAATGACAAACCCATGAGTTAAATTTGAAATTTAAATGAAAGCAAGAATAGCCTTAATTAAGCAGCCTCATTTCAGGACAATACAAAAAGGAAATTCAAAATCAGCTGACAGAATCTCAAACCTCATTGAATTAAACTCAGATAATTTAAGGAGCAAAGAGGGATCGATCATGAATATACCATCTTGAGGATCAGTGAAAGAAAAGACGAATTGAATCTGAGCTGACAAGAATCCCAGAAAAAGCAACGTTCCAAATATCATCGTCATCCTTGAACCAACCAATTTCTGATTACTCTGCTTCATCTGTTACTAATAATTAATGAAGTCTCTTCATGTTTTGTTCGAGAGGGAAAATCATCCAACACATCAGAAAAATATCACCACACTTTGTTTTCTCCAGAAAGGAAAAACGAAGACGAAAGACTATTTATTTTAGGCTGACTTTTCAATTGATTTTGCCTTATCTTAGAAGCTAATCTAACCATTCTGTACTACTCATTACACCAATTGACGTGTTTCCCAATTTTTCACTCCACACTACTCTTTTGAAAAGTGACAATATAATGTTTGTTTTGTTTTGGGAAAATATAAGTAGATCTGGTAATTTGATTATATTTTATTTTTAATTCTTATAGTTTTATTTCATTATGGCTAGTCCCATTAATTTGATCTGTTTGAAATGTTAGTCCTTATAATTATAAAAATACATATAAGAACCATGAGTTGGCATTAACAGAGTTAATTTTACATATACTTAACTCTGTTAACCTTCTTGTTGGCATGTATTTAATCTTATCTTTGTCTCTCATACTTTATTGAAGCCCAACATAAAAGAAATTTATATATTTCTCCCTTACCTTTTATTTTTAATTGAGAAAACATAATTATTAGCTTCTATAATTTTTTTCACTGCTTTAGATCCCTCTTTTTTTTTCCAATGCAAAATAAGAACAAGGATGCTTCAGATCCCTCTAGTTTATATTATTTGTAACATTAGTCCCTTTATTTTTGAATATGCTCAGAAGGACAATGGGATAATACTAATAATGTTAAATATGTTGAACTATAGCTAACACCATTAATTTGTTCTGAGTGCAGTTATGATTCAGTATATCAATAGCGTTGTCCACCCTGCTTTGTTTCATGTTTCAAGTTTCAATATAATTTCTTAAAGTACAATTCCACCTTAGCACAAAGATTAACAGTATTAGTCATATGTCATCATAGTTAACGTCGACAATGCCACCTTATCATTTTTTTTTTAATATATTAAAGAAGTAGAGAGAATAATGTTGCACACATGATAAATTAGAGGGATTTGAAACAATAAAAAAAGACTACAGGAATATATACCAAAATATTTTAAATTATATGGATTAATAGTTGTATTTTTTCTTTTTAATTATACTTAGTCAGTGTATATTTATGTTAGTATATTTTTACCATGTTAGTAAAGGGGTAATTAGCAAAGTTATGATAAAATTAACTCTATCACTGCCAGTTCATAGTCATTATGTATATTTTTAAAATTATATAGATTAATGTTGTAAACTGATCGATTAAACTAAAATGATTGAAAAAAATGAAATAAAATTATAGATATTAAAAATAAATTAAAACGCAATCAAAGTATTGTTATATTTCTCCTTTAGTTTTGCAGCAAAGTATCTCAACTCAATCCATCCGTTATGATTAAAGTGGTTGGTAATGAGGGGAGTGTTGGGTTGGTGCATAGCCATACCATTGATTAATAACAGAACACGAAACAACGGAACGGCCTCCACTATATAAAGTACTGACACATAACACTTTATCCCTCTTTTACGTTTCGTAGTCCAACTTTGGTTTTCCACTGGTGTTGGTTGAATTTAGTTTTGGTTCGTACGATATAATTTGTGAGACTGATATTAAAATCTCAAACCAATAAATTTATGATAGTTAGATCCTGATAAGTTTTTAAAAAATTAATTATAAATATTAATTTAACTAGTTATAAATTAAAAGGTTCTAACTGCAAATAAAATATTTAAATTTTAAATATAACTTTTAATTTTTCATTGAAATTCATGTTTACAATTGTTGAAATTATTATTTACAACTTATTTTTTGAAAAAAAAATTATCGGTGTCTTAAATGTCTTAAATTAAGGGGTTCTAACTCCAAAAATTTTAACTTTTGAAGTTTTATTGTCATTGTCCCTAATTCTTTTCCCACATATGTTTACAATTTATCTAGCTAGATATATATTTTTGAGATATGTAGTAGGAAGCATTTGTCATTGTAATGGCCTATAGATTTCATTTAAGCAATTTAGAATCTTTTTTCCCTCATACTATATTTATTTTTACAATCTAGATTTTCAATAGGAAAATATTTATATATGGGTTAATGAGCATCCTAAATCTAAATTATTGTATGAATATCATCCTAAACCATAAACTCTTGAAATGTTCAAAAACTCTTGGGAAAATGACAATTAATTTCCAAATGATCAATTTTATTCAAGGTAAGTCCCAAGACATTCTGAAATACTAGTTAAGTCCCCGGGTCCTTAAGTAGCATTTTAATATAATGAGAAATGATCGAAACATCCTTATTTGGCTGGTGAAATTTTGAGGTTGCTCATTCTCTACTCTACCCTGCCCTGCAATTACTTGTCCGTCGTCTCTTCCCTGCCCTGTTCGTCGTCTCTTCCCTGCCTCATTGCAAGTGAGTAAAGCTCTTCATCGTCTCTTCCCTGAGCTGTCCAGTAAAGCTGTACATCATTTCTATTCTAGTCTTGTTTGATGTCTCTTCTTTGCCTTAAGCGATCATTTGCTTAGGTCATTAATCTGTAATCTATTTTGGTCATTAATCTTTGATGAGTGTGATGGCATTTGCCTCGCAAAAGAGTCTGATCCTCATTAACATTCACAATTCCAATTATGCAAAAATTGCTTCTTCTTCAATTTTTTCCCTAAGTGTCTTAGCTAAAGGTGGACCATATAGTTTGTACAAGTGAGGATATACTCAAATGGATTTTAAGTTTGAGGTTATACATTGTACCTAATCAATCAAGTTTATAACTTTGCAACTTTCTACCTTATTTTCACAATTTTATTCCCAACTTCTAATATTGAAATGTATTTGTAATGTTCGACTTATACAATATACCCAATCAATCAAGTTGCCAAGCAACTTAAGTACCCAATTTTGTAAATATCTCAAGACAAATTTACCACTGCTTGTCAAAATTTTAGGCGGGAGAACTATTGAATTCTTAAGAAAGTTATTGTTCTAGGACAACGTTCCAGTAATTTGTAACTGATTTTGTAACTTCCTTACAAATAATATGCAACTTCTTTTTGAAATTTTGGGTGGAAGAACTATTGAATTCTTAAAAAAGTTATCATTCTAGGACAACGCTCCAGTAATTTGCAATTGAGATACCAAATTTTGCAACTTCCTTATGAGTAATTTGCAACTCCTACTTAAAATTTTGGGTGGAAGAACTATTAAATTCTTAAACTTGCAAAGCTACCAAATTATTTTAGGACAACGCTATAGCAATTTACAACTGACATACTAAATTTTGCAACTTCCTTACAAATAATTTGCAACTCCTTCTCGAAATTTTGAGTAGAATAACTTTTGAATTCTTGAACTTGTAAAGCTACCAAATTATTTTAGGACATGGCTCTAGTAATTTACAACAGACATACTAAATTTTGCAATTGCCTCGCGAATAATTTAAACTCCTTCTCAAAATTTTGCATGGAATAAATTTTGAATTCCTGAACTTGCAAAGCTACCAAATTATTTTAGGACAACGCTCTAATAATTTGCAACTAACATATCAAATTTTACAACTTTCTTACGAATAATTTGCAACTCCTTCTTGAAATTTTGGATGGAATAACTTTTGAATTCTTAAACTTGCAAAGTTACCAAATTATTTTAGGACATAGCTTTACCAATTTGCAACTAACATACCAAATTTTGTAACTGCCTTACGAATAATTTGCAACTTCTTGAAATTTTGGATGGAATAACTTTTGAATTCTTGAACTTGCAAAACTAACAAATTATTTTAGGAGCTCTAGTAATTTGCAATTAACATACCAAATTTTGCAACTTCCTTAAGAATAATTTGCAACTCTTTCTCAAAATTTTAGGTGGAATAACTTTTAAATTCTTGAACTTGCAAAACTACCAAATTATTTTAGGACAATGCTCCAATAATTTGTAACTGACATACTAAATTTTGCAATTTTCTTACAAATAATTTGCAACTCCTTCTTGAAATTTTGATGGGAATAACTTTTGAATTCTTAAACTTGTAAAGCTATCAAATTATTTTAGGACATGGTTCTGGTAATTTGTAACTGACATACTAAATTTTACAACTTCCTTACGAATAATTTGCAACTCTTTCTCAAAATTTTGGATGGAAGAACTATGGAAGAACTATTGAATTCTTGAATTTGTAAAGCTACCAAATTATTTCAGGACATGGCTCCAGTACTTTACAACTGACATACCAAATTTTGCAATTGCCTTACGAATAATTTATAACTCCTTCTCAAAATTTTGGGTGGAATAACTATTGAATTCTTGAACTTACAAAGCTACCAAATTATTTTAGGACATGGCTCTAGTAATTTGCAACTAACATACTAAATTTTACAACTACCTTACAAATAATTTATATCCTCTATTTGAAATTTTAAGACGACACACTTTTAGTGATCATAGAAGATATGAACTGTACATATAAGTTACATGTATTAATTCATCTAATGCATCTGCATATATCAGTTGTCCATATACACAAAAGTATGAACTTGGATTTATAAAAAAGGGGTTGCTATGTACCAAAAAAAATCCCCTAATACTACTAATATATATGTACATAAACCTATATATGTCAACCAAATCCAAGTTGATCTAATCTCATGTTATAGAAACATCAACTTGGATTTACAAAAGAGCAATTTCTATATGCCAAAAAAAATCCTTAAAACTACCCATATATGTATGTCACCTAAATCCAAGTTCATGTGGTAACCCATTTACAATAACATCAACTTGAATTTAGATTTCTACACCTCTTCTGTGTATGACTTGCTTCATGGCAATGAGAACAATGATAAACCTTCTTCTACTAATATTGAGACTCAATCCTCACATAACGAGGTCTGCTAGCTGATTGAGATGTTCTAGGAGGTAGCAAAAAGGCTTCGTTCATGAGCTTAGATACTGTCAATGCATTTGGCTTTGGCATGTCAGAGGTCTCAACATGATGCATAATACCACTGTATATTTTCTCCTATGAGCTACGATGATAACATTCCTCGACATAGTTATACACATTACCATGTACTTCTTTAATGGCTACACAAGCATGTGGGAAAGG